TGCGTCAGTGGCACAGCGGTTGAATGCTCACCAACCACGCCTCTTTTACCTCGCTAAGCCAGTAATAAGACTGGTAAAGAGGGAAGGTTGAGCATGAGAGCTAACAACCCCGAAACTTTAAAGCTTCAAGTCCTATGTTCCACTGGGAACGTAAAAGAATACAATGAATTGTTCTTTGGCTTGTGTATCACCCCCTATCAAGTGTAAGATGTTGCCGTAGGACTGGTCTTCACTGATTTATCGATTGCAGACAGAGGATGCTAAGAACCAATGGCTGGATACTAATAGTTGTCAATGGCGCGCATGTTTTCACTCTTTTTTATCTGTCATATCCACTAAAGTGTTATGTTTTTTTTGTGTTACTATTCCTTCTGCCTCACATTTATGCTTATTGTAGTCCTTTGAATCCGTCGTTTTCCTTAATTTTGTGTACCTTTTTGTGCTATATGGAGTGTTGTAATTTAAACTGCTGCATTTCCGTGCCAATGTTCTGTTTTGAAACTGTCAGTCAGGTGAAGTGGTTGGCCGTGATGATGACCGCTTCAGTTATATGGGAAGTTGCTTCAGCCCGAATGGACCGCTTGCTTATTAAATAAACCTCACCTAGTTTACTAGCTGGCTGGTTTTCTAGCCGGTCCCAAGCCCGGAAAAAAAGGGAGGGTTGAGTGTGGAGCTAGCGACTCTACACTACAAAACCAATCAAATTGCTACAGAAACTTCAGCTCACAAGAAAAATGCAAAAAATATGAAAAACAAACTTATTCTTCGCTGGAATCGGAGGGGCCAAATGACACGGGCTGGTGAAAGCCTTCGGGAAGCCAGTCAGCCGGCATGTCTTATCTTGAAGAAAGCAATAATAAGAATGGGAACGTGGAATGTTCGTACAATGTACGAGGCTGCCCAGGTAGCCAAAGGAATGAGAAGATGTGGCATAGAAGTGCTGGGAATCTGTGAGGGCATATGGAATGGGTGTGGACTATCAAAATCGTCAACTGGAGAGTCAGTAGTGTACGCTGGTCATCCAGATGACAACCAAGAGCACACTGAAGCAGTGAGTGGCTACACCAAAGCCCTTATGCAGTGGGAACCAATCCCTTCATCCACGATCATGACAGCGAGATTCAACTCAGAAGGAGTGAAGTTTACAATTATCCAATACTACTCACCTACAAAACAACGCGGAACAAGAAAAGAAGGAGGATTTTTATGGACAACTGCAAACAGTAATGGACAACATTCCGAATGGCAACATCAAAATCCTGATGGGTGATATGAATGCCAACAGAACTGGGAGCAGATAATACAGGAAGAGAACTCATGATTTATCGAGAGGCTCTGGGTGAAATGAATGACGGCGTTGAATTCTTCCTAGACTTCTGCGTTTTCAATGATTGGGTGATCGGAGGCAGTGTGTACAAGCAGAGGAATATACACAAAGCAACATGGGTTTCGCCTGACGGACACACCACAAACCACATAGACTTCATCCCAATGTTGCCCAAGAAAGTGGAGACATAGCCAGCCTGCTGGACACAAAGTCGAGAAGGGGAGCAGATGTAGGCTCAGACCATTATCTAGTTCAAGGAACCTTCAAGGTGAAGCTGAAAGCCTTCAAAACAACTGGAGACGGGCCACAATTCAAGTCCAACATTCAGAAACTGAAGGACAAAACTACACGGGACACCTTCACTACAGATCAGCATCACTGAGGAAACCTGCGTGTAAGAACATTGGAACTAACTATCTGAAGGTGATGTTCAAAGAAACGTGTACAACTGTTCTAGGAAGAAAGAAGAGACAAGACAAGGAATGGCCCTCAACGGATACCTGGAAGTTAATATAAGAAAGGAGAGGAGGATGGTGAAAGAGAAGACGACTCAATGCAAAGATGAACAACAGAAGTAGAAGCTGCACTGAATAAAGAAGTGAAGAAGAGTACTAGAAAGGACAAAAGACAGTCCCACGACACTGACAACTGAAGTAGAACAGGCTGACCTCAGGTAAAAGAGATCTGAAAACATTGTATCAGATAACTGTATATATCCGGGAAGAGATCAACGCAAGTGAAACCTATAAAAGATGTTGAAGGGGACCTAATTACCACGAAGCAGAGACAAATCAAACAGTGGACTGATCACTTCAAAGGACTCTTGAATCAACCATCGCCTGCAACTAGTCCAGAAATCCCACCACCACTGACAGCAGGCATAGAACTACCAGTGAACACCAACTCTCCAACAAAAGTGGAATTCTTGAGTACAGTAAAACTATTGCAGTCCGGGAAGGCAGCAGGACCAGATAGAATCTGCCCCGAAGCACTGAAAACGGACCCAGAGACTGCAGCAGATATGCTCATGCCATTATTGCAAAAGGTCCGGAAGGAAGCGAAGGTGTTTACTGATAGGAAGAAGGGTCACCTTGTCAAGCTACCAAAGAAGGGCGACTTAGGCCTCTGCAAGAACTGGCGTGGAATAATGCTCTTGTCCACGCCAAGTAAAATACTAAGTCGCGTCATCCTGGAGAGAATAAAAGATGCACTGGATGCAGAACTCCGCCCATCGGAAGAAGCTGCATTCAGGCAAGGCAAATCATGGCAACCTTACACATAGTTATCATCGATCTGGGCATAGAATAGCAGTCAAACCTGAACTTTAACTTCATCGACTTCGATAAGGCCTTCGCCAGACAGCGTTGACCGTGAAGTAATTTGGAAACCACTTCAACACTATGGCATGTAGTGCCCATAGCAGCTATATGACAATGGCACGTGTCAGGTGACCCATAACGGAAAACTCAGCGAAGCCTTTGGAGTGAATACAGAAGGAAGACAAGGATGACCTATATCACCCACGATGACATTCCTAATTGTGGTGGACTGGATCATGCGTAAGACTGTGGTTAGTGAGATGTAGATACTCTGGACCGATATACAGACTCTAGAAATCGGGATTTCGTGGATGATTTATGTCTAATGTCATACAAACTCGAAGAGTTGCAGGTGAAAACAGGACTCCAGGTGAGCATAGAGAAAACGGAGGTGATGAAGATAACCAACCAACAGCAAATATAAACAGCACCATCAACGGGAGCGATTAGTAAGAGGTTACTTCCTTCGCTTAATAATAATATCTTTATTCTGGAGAGTATTTATAAAATGTACAGAATTTTCAAAGGAGTTTATTACATGATATTTTCACTTCGTACAATATCTCCAAGTATAATATTTTAATTGACAGTATATCCTGTGACACACTGTTCTCTGAGCTGAAGCACAAACCATTCCATTAGGAAATATCTACTTTCTCCCCTTCAAGAAATCCACGATATCTGGTTGAAACCCATTTTTAAGATGTTCAGAAGTACATTTTGGGACCCAAGGACATAACTGAAAAACAGCTATCTCATGTATTAGAACACATTGCCACCCACAATATGGCCATTCCTCAAGTTTAGTAGGGATTTGCGAATCAGGAGCTTGTAAACATAAGAGATTATACTGATAGAGGCCATATCTCAGTCGACGAAAACAAACCGAACGAGAGCGATAGTGATAATAACAATAATAATGATAATGATAACAGTGATAATAATAATATTAATGACGACACCAACAATAAAGAATCTAAATCATCAGTAGTAATTCCATACAAGGAAGGAACCTCGGAAGCCTTACGCAGAATTCTTAACAAGGCAGGAATAAAAATGGCATTCAAACCCACAAACTCAATTAGAAACAAGCTTTGTCGGTTAAAGGATCCTGTAGAGCCTTTAAAACAAAACAATTTAGTTTATCTAATACCCTGCCTGCAATGATTGTCAGGTCAAATACACAAGTCAAACTGGTAGAACAGGGGCAGTCAGACTAGCTGAGAACAAAATATCTAGCAGCAAAATCTAGATTAGTTGACCCGAATAAGATAAGAAATCCAGAAAATAGTTCAGCTATAGCACTACATGCAGTCACACACAACCATACAATAGGATGACAGTTTTAAAATCTAATGTCACAGGGTGTAGGGAGAGATTGATAACAGTAGCTTTGTTTATCGAATCAACTGCAAATACATGTAATAGGAATGATTCATCACCTGTCCCCGATATTTGCAAAATTCTACTACCCATACGACAAATAGGGGAGAACAAAGAAAACTATAAAACTCAAGTGTCAAAGTCGTGTGATTACAATTGGTATGATTATGAACAATCGATTTTGTTCGAAACGTCATCCAGTAAATAATACTGTTTCACTGTGTGATATATCAAATAAACAAACCAATAACGAACGAGAGAAAATATACGGAACAGAGAGATGGGAGTTTTTGGTGGCCCACATTTTTAGCAGGCCCAAAGGTGTTTAGAAAGCATTGTTTCAACCACACGCGACAGCGCGGATGAAAATGTCAAAGCTAGACAGAATTGGAAAGGCCAGATAAGCCTTCATCAATCTACAAAAATTCTCTACTCAACATCAACAACAAAATTCTGATTCTCAACAACAATGTAACGTTAGCCAGTTCTTCTATACGGGTCGGAAACTTGCTCTGCGTGTCACGGAAAGGATTTCCAACAAGTTAGACTTTTATCAACAGCTGTCTTCATCCTGAAGATCAAATGGCTGACCGTCCAGAAAGGATTAGCAACAAGAAACTCTGCCAACAAACCAATCAAGAGTCTATAGCTCAACAAGTATACAGGAGAAAATAGAGATAGATCGGGCATACGACGAGTGGGGTGGTGGTCCTAGGGTGACATAGAGATCGTGCGAGGAGGAGACGAGAGATTTTGGGTAGTCGTGGACCAAGTTGAAGAGGATTGCGGAAAATAGAACAAAGTAGAGATGTGTTGTTGAAGCCTTATTTTCCACTCGGGACCTTAGGGAATAATAATTCTCTTATACATGTATCCATACTCAGCTTTTGTTTATTTGCTAGCATGTATAATTAGATAAAATTCTTATACACTATGCTGGTCATACTAACTCTTTTGTTTCCCCTCCTTAGGCTATGAATTTAGATGCTTCTGTTGATGACGAAGTGGATACAAGTCATGATAATAGTGGTTGATTTGTCTTCCTCATGATCACAACTGCCCGTCTTGACGATAAGAGAAATAAGACAATCAACACAGGAGATAATTAAGTCACATTTTTATTGGAAAGAAAGCAACAAAAAATTAAAAAAAGAAGAGAACTGTTTTATTCCGGTGATGATTGTTAACGTTTTGTTGCATATCAATTTTTTAAAATTATTTTTCACGTAATTGGTCTTTTAATAAAAGTTATTGTATTTTCTTACTTATATTTGGTTTTTGACATCAGGAAATAGGCATTTGGAACTGTTTGGTGGAGTGACTGCACTACTGTACATTGTTCGCAGACGTATGACCTAATATTGAAATTGTGGTGACCGGTTTTTTAAGTTATCTAAGAGCCCGGTCTGCAGTCAATAGGTCACAGTTTCTAGCGGCCAACTGCCTGCTCTTCCAGTTGGGTAATATCATCAGCTCTGACATGTTAAGTTTGGCTCTCAGTGATCTGTTCCGGGTGGTTGTTTTCAAAAATTAAAAGCTTATGCTATAGGAATCTAGCTGAGAGGTAAACTGCTACCTATGTAATCATAAAACAGCGTCTTAGTAAGGTGATTACTGTGCCTTGTATAACAACAAGAAACGATCTCTACGTTAGTCGTCGTGCATTTTCGATTTGTTGACACGTACACGGTCAGTCTGGTAGGTAATATTAATTTACTATTCTCTCATTGTTCAAAGTGAGTGATAGTCATTGAATTCCGAATATAGCCTTGTTAAGTAAGAAAAATTGTGACAAAACCTGACCGACTTTCATCATATTTATCGGTGAAATGAAGGTAGGACATGCTGTTAAGTGGATTACTTATGTCATACATTAACAAATATCTAGGTCGATGAGTAATCAAACTGATTTAAAGTGTAATCAGTTTCACGCATAAGATATTCATATATTTAATCACCTCTTATCCGTAGTTGCTGCATTGATGTAGTGTTTGGTCATCCGAGTCACAGTGACCCGGCCTCCCACCTTGAATCCTTAGAGCTTACTACAGTGACAATGATAAGAGCTGTTAGCATCATGATGTAAGGGTAAGTGGTTGAGGACTGCCTTATGGCAGATATAATCATATCAGCAGGTGGTTTGTGTAATGCTAGATAGGGCACCAGCATATTGGGGATACGTAATAAGGTCTAATTCCCACAAAGCGGGCGGCTTTTACAATTCATTTTAGATAATTACCTTTCTTGAACAGCAGGTTTCAAATAACTACAGTTTTGCGATGAAGACAACCTGTGGACATAGTTATGTAAACATTTCCCTGTAAATGGTAGCGGTACTCATCCGGAAGAACCTTAGCGCAATATACAGCCTATGGCTACGAAAACCAGTTGACTTCCGTAAGCTCGCCTTGACTAAGCGGCATAATCGGCTGGCATGCTGTATACATAACTGAAAGCTCAACCTTCGTTAAGACCACGAATAGTGCCTAAAAAAAGAGATCCTGAAGCGATTAACATTCGGTAATACAGCCATTAAGATAGCTATGCATATTTACTTGAGTCTTTGGACTTCTGTACGAGGATTCACAAGCAGCTAGGTCATGAACGAATCTGCGTACCAGCATACCTTTCTACCTAGCACTCGTACATTAACAGTTGCTAAAGCCCACGCATTACTCCCTAAAAATGCCGTAAACCCTAGTTTACCCAGGTAGTGAGCTATTCCAAGCACAAAACCACCTACCAGTTATGATGAAGCTTCCATCTTGATGCAGCCACGCTAAGTATATCAGGGTACACAATCTGACCCAATGAGCTACGCATGTGATGACCTCCACCCCTAGTAGCCTGAGTGCAGTAAACGACCTCCAGCCTAATCTTCGTAGGTTTTTCGCTGTTTTAATGAATCCCAACAACCATCTCAGACAAATCTTTTGTACCTCCGGGTGTCTGATATCTAAACCGATATACTGTACAACAACTACTACTACGGTAGAAACTAACTAAGCGTACACAAGTTTTAACAAGTAAACCTTTGGCAGGCTAGAAAAACTGCATTTCACAATATGTCGAAACTGAAGTGGGAATGAGTCGGGCAGACGCACTGGTCACGATTATTACTTGACTACATCAACACTATACGACCGCTACCAGAGCCCATACTACTTGAAAAATGACACAACGATAGGAGCCGCAAGTTGTATTTCACGCAATAAAGTATTACTCAAAATATTATCAAGGATATATCATTTAGTTTGTAGATATGGTCATTAAAATGCGGAAGTTAGTTTACATAGACTCTTTCTGATTGGTTTGTTTATAGATTGGGCACCAACCCCTATATCATTTAAATAGAAAACAAACTATTTGTCGGGACTTCAGATCAGCAAAATCTCTATAAGGGACTGTATCCTACATCCTGTCTGATTCTGTGAGCAGTTACGTATAACTTCAGTCATCATTACGAATAATACATTCTTGATTCATTTAAAACTATCCTTTATCAGTAGCATTATCTTAATTCACTTCAACACTATTATTATAACTATTACTACTGACATCCCTTTGGTTGCAATTCTTGTTAAATTCTCTAATGTCTAATTGTTTATCTAAGTGATGTAATTGAAGCGTAATGCAATTTATCTCTATCTCCTCTTATCCAATTGAACATGACCTGGAAAAACATTTGCACCTGACTTTCTGCATGACTAATTCAAGGTAGTTTGTTTACTTATCAGTCCTATATCTCCCAATGTAATTTCAAAAGTATATATATCCGTGTATGTAGAGTATTCAGTTGAAGAGTTCTACCGAAATTTGATGAATTCATTAAATCCTGCTTTATTAACCTTTATTGCTTGTTTTAAATTACGAATAAAGAATTATCTGACCTATAACATGTACTTGTACTAAAACAAACACTATCCTCTACAATTACTGAAAACATTTTTTCGGGAATCTCCAAAAGAAGCCATTAATTGAATACAAGGAAGAATATCTTTATGATGGGTAGTTCAGCACATGTACTTAAAAATTTTTCACAGGAAATACAAAATAATAGATTTTAATGCATCTATAGCTTGACATATATAACAGAATATTTCAGACATTTGAAAAAAGATAAGTTTCTATATAGATAAAATATAGTAGCACACCAATAAAATTAAAGGATAGTAATGCGAGATACAATGAAATGCAGTTGTCATGAATCTGGTTATATGGCGAGAGGTTTAGGTGGAGGTAGCTTTTTCCCAATAAGGGACTTGTGAATATGCGGAATAACGCCACCACCAGCAATAGTTGCTTTTATTAGTGTATCGAGCTCTTCGTCACCACGAATGGCCAACTGCAAATGCCGAGGTGTTATACGTTTGACTTTTAGATCTTTACTAGCATTGCCGGCAAGTTCCAGAACTTCGGCTGTTAAATATTCCAAAATTGCTGCTGAGTAAACAGCGGCAGTAGCACCAACCCGTCCATGACTCGTAGTACGAGCTTTCAAATGACGATGGATACGACCGACAGGAAACTGGAAATGGAGGAAATATGGCATGCGCGTTATTTTAAAAAGTGCACAAAGGTTCATTATGAATTAGCACCAAAAGGTGAACTACCTATGAATGATGTGCTAGTCAGTTTAATGTACAATCATATTGGCTTTTGCTGGTTCATAAATATTACTGAATTCACCCAACATACTTCGTAACGATTTCCCCTTTGTTTCAACATCCAAACAAGAAAAATGCGATGTAAATTCGCAAACTGACAAGAAGAAACTACCCTGGAACGCCAGTGTTTTAGTTGAATGATCATAGAATTCAACTAGTAACAAATGGCCAAACTAAAAATGTTTGGCGATGAAGCAACTCCCCACCCATGGCGTACTGTTTGAGCACAGCATATGTGAGTGAACTATGCGTAACAAATATATCTGCTGAGACTCAGACACGACAGTGGTATGCTACAAGCTGAGACATCACTTCAAGGTGAAGTTAAAGGGTTTTTTCTCCATATTACTTAGTGTTAGTAATCACTGAAAAATGGCGGAAGTCAGACTTATGTGACTTCTGCACGATCTTCAAACTAAATTTCGGTCGATGTCACCCTATAATACTTCGATTTTTGTTACATACCGATACGCTGATAAATACCAAATCAACATAGTGAAGCATGCAAACTACTGAATACTCCATTAGTACTTATGGAGCTCTGGCTCATTAGTCCAGCCCAAACTTCCAACCTGCGGATCACGGATCTTGAACCCCATCCGCCTACGAAGGTTGAGGCACACCTCATACGCGTGGTTTATTAAGAAATACATGGAATTGCAAGTAGTTGCTGAGTAACAATACATAGGCTGTTCGTTCACACATTTCTGTGGATAATTTACATCGAGGCGACTGACGGTTTCCGCTAACTATCCTTTGAACCACACGAAAAGCTGGTGACAATGAGTGGGGGATGTGGTTGTTACAATCAAGAACCGTGGGAGACTCAAAATGATGAAACAACCAGGCGAATGAAGAGAAGTCACATACGTCAGTATAGTTCAAGAATTCAAGCTCAGTAATAAATAGCAGTACCGATAGATTTGAAATTACAGGAGTCAGAACCTGATATTCATTAGGTTTCACGTTAATGTGAACACAGATACTTAAAGTTTTAACACTAATTACACTTCAGTAATACCACTTTTACTGGAACATCGAACGTAACACCAGTCTGAACAAGTTATATGAAATTCAAGCCTCCACTAAAACTGACAGCATTGCAAGGACACTGTGCAACTTATTTACAATACCTTATGCAGGAAATGGGAGATTGGGGCGTCTGTTGGCACCTAAATTCAATCAAAACCATGAATTGCAACCACTCAACACCATGAATAAGCATATTTCCCTATAGTAACACGAGCATGTCAGCGAAATCCACACCTTACATGTTTCTTCGCAGTATGTTAACACGAAACTATTGCCCACATTCGATAGGCTTAGGAATAACCTGTGAAAATTTGCAACAATTAGGAAATCTAGAC